ATCGCCTGGCGCGTTATTATGGGGCCGATAATGCTCGGGACGAGCATGTCTTAAGAGGGGGCAGTGTTACGCGCCTATTAACACACAAAATGAAAACAATTAGGTGGACTTTAATAGGCTGTCACGGTAACGGTAACTACTGAATTTAAAAAAAAAACTGAAAAAATCCAAATATCCTTCCTGTGAAATAGTCTATGCTCAGCAGTGGGCTATTAATAGCTTGTAAAATTAAACGAGCCCAATGGTTAAATACTGATTTTAAAAATCCCTATTAAGTAAAAAAAAGTCTCACAAGACCTGTTATAAAAAGAAGTCAAAAATCCATCCATCCATACATACAACTTATAAACATAGGTTTCCCAATGAATTGCCTCTTAAAGGGGATTTTGCCATAATTAGTAGGCGGGTTAGCAAACAAAGTTTTTTAAAATGTTATTAAAAATTTTGAGTTATTATCAGCAAGATGCTGTTGCCCATACCCTGTTTCTGTTTCCATCTGTCGCTTCTTATTGTGACATCCACGGGATGATATGGGGTAATGGTTGTTTTTGCTACGCCACTAAACTGCGGCACCGTCAACATCTGTCGAGCTTGTCGGCATCCCGGTGAGTCACTTAGGCTATCATCTCCGGTTGTTCGGCGCTTTCTAATTCTGAGTACGTGCACAGACCACCAAGAGCTTGCTCTAAAATGTGGTCTTGTGGGTCTAAAATTATCTTATTAAAAGTACTTGCCGGCATCCGTGCTCGAAAATGACTGCGCGAGGTTCTACTGGGACCATCAAAGACAGGACTATGTTTTCGAATAAGCCCGATATTATGCTGATGGACCGGGTACAGCCAAGGATACTTTTGGTCGACATTACCATTCCGTATGACGAGAACCTAATGAAAGCCTTATAAAATTTCTATACGTGGTGAAGCCATGCTACAGTTATATTAGTAGTATAGTTGTAGCACGAATGAGTTGGCTCGACCGGGGAAGGACCATGCTCTTACATAATACCAGCGTAAAATAGTAGCTTAATGCTGCTGTGTTTCGTATGGTTAGTGTAGAGAACCGGAGACTCTTTTTACTGGAAACGAGGCATTCCATCTTAGTCCCCACGAGTGACGACGCATCTGCATTTTGATTTGTAATCGAGGATAGATGTAGACGTCTATGGGCCGCAGCAACCACTTACCATCAGGTGGACTGTGTGCACGTTTGTCACCCTATCCTATAAAAAAAGAAAAAAAGCCGAACCAAATAAACGAACAACATTTCTAGACCAGTCTCATGAGGTGACCGATATGCAGGGCGCGCTGCCAACCGAAATTATTTCTGTAGTCGTTTATCCAAACAGGCTAATCCTGGTTAGCCTCTCAGGTCGTCTGAGGCGGCTGGGACTCCGTGACGGACCGCTCCGAGCTCAAATACAGAAGGTGGTGCTCCTCGATACCGCCCGCGTTGGGTTTATTTTTGTATTTTTTATTCATTTATTTCACTATATCAATGTATATTTATATATAATTATCATTTTCATTTGTATATTTTAATACCTAAAAAATAATAATACATACACATACACACACGCATACATAAAACCCCACGTTTATCAGACAGTGCGGTAAACAGAGATTACTGAATATAGCAATCAATTGTAAAATACTCTTAAAATTTTATTTATTTTCGGAAATTTCTTTTCGATCGGACCCCCTGTGAGACTTATAGTAATGGCCGTCGGATTACAGTAACATAATCCCGCTTCGTTCATTGCTACAGTTTGCAGTTGGGCATATGGACGGCGAGCTGCAAGATTCGGGGACGGAATCCGCTTTGCCGCTTGTGTATTTATAATAGGATTTTTAAGGGAGAAAATCAATTGTATTGGCTTTTTTTAACTCAGTTCGTGCTAAATTTAAATGTAAGTGTATCTATATATATATATATATATATATATATATATATATATATATATATATATATATATATATATATATATATACATATATATATATATATATACAAATAAAATTTAAGTTTCTGTGTGTTATATCGGAATACTGCTTTAAAATAAGCTGAAGGGACTTTTTGAATACCATTACATAAATAACAAGTTTTAAATTTTTTTTTCTCTCTGTAGATCGTTTGGCTAATCTCCGTAATGTCTCAACCAATTTTTATGAAACTTTACAAACAGATCGAGAATAATTCCTGGGATAATCTAGGCTATATTTTATCTGAGAAACTTGATGCCTAAAAAATAATAAAATAACTGGTCCTTAAGTGTGAATGAGCTCAGATGGTTAACGCTCGCTGTAAATTTGTTGTGCCAGAGCGTTATCAGTCATTGCATATGTTCTTGGGGATGCGCTGCTAAAACACATCTTATAGAATTAGAGCGAGCTCAAAGAGCTGTACTAAAAGTAATACTTTCACTTCCTTATAGATATTCGACAGAAAAGGCATATAAGTTAACTGATGTACTAAGTGTTAGCAAATTATTCATAGTCTTAGACGCTTTCATAGATGTAGTGTTCCGCAAATACAAAATTCAAAAAGAACTGTACGTATAAGTATCCCCAAAGTTAAATTCATATTCGGCAAAAGGAATTATAATTACGTAGCTCCCAAGTTATATACTAATATACTAAATAAAATAGTGTGCACAAGAAAGGCTTCAAATGGCACACACACACACACACACACACACACACACACACACACACACACACACACACACACACACACACACATGTCTATAGTGTTAACTGAGTATTTCTCTAATGTATTTTTGACACAAAGAGTTATTGAATGGGAAGGAACTGACTCCTGAAATACAAGGTATCCTAGTTTGGGATTCAGGACTCAATGATGTTGTATGAAATTATAAGTGTCAAATAAAGAAATTATTATTATCATTATTATTTTTTTTTAATTCTCATCTGGTTGGGATGTATAAATATATAATTATAAATGAAAATGAAAGAATAAATATACATAAATATCAATAAAATAAAATAAATACAAAAATACATAAATAAATAAAAGCCCAACCAGATGGAAGCCCTCGGCAGGGGGAGACCAAACGGCCAAGGGTTAGGAAGAAAGGGAAAGAAACCGGCGGACGATGCGGGCAGTATCAAGGAGCACCGCCTTCTGCATTTGAGCCCGGAGCGGTCCGTCACGGAGTCCCAGTCGCCTCAGATGACCAGAGAGGCTAACTGGGATTAGCCCATTCGCAGAGAAGACTACAGGAATAATTTCGGCCGGCAGACCACCCCACATGTCGGTCACCTCGTGAGCCAGGTCCAGATATTTTGATTGCTTATCTGTTTCGGCTCTCACGAGGTTCTCGTCATATCATATATATGGTAATATCGACCAAAAATATCCTTGACTGTGCCCGGTCCATCAGCACAATATCAGGCTTATTCGCAAGAATAGTCTTGTCTGTGATGATGGCCCGGTCCCAGTAGAGTCTGGCGCGGTCATTTTCGAGCACGGCTTCCGGCAAGTACTTGTAACACGGCGATTTCCGGTCCACGAGACCGTATTTCAGAGCGAGCTCCTGGTGTAGAATTCTGGCTACTAGGTTGTGCCTGTGCAAGTACTCAGAGTTAGAAAGCGCCGAACAACTGGAGATGACATGCCTAAGTGACACCCCGGGATGACGGTGCCATCCTTTAGGATGTATCTCCGATAGTTGTTGGTCTTAATAACCTGATCCTGTATTGCACAGACAAAACCCACAGTTTCCCCGAAGAGGTCACCGAAACGTAGCCAGTTGAGGGAGGCGACTGTATCTACGAAGGGCTCATGTAGAGCCTTGTAGTACCTCCCGTGGAGCTCCTTCTCCTTCCATACGGTCTCCCGGTCGGAATTGCTAAGCACTGCTGGGTCCTGCCATTGCTCGTTGGCTAAGGATAGAGGGGTAAGCCCTTTATCACTAGAAATGACGTCATTATAGAATGGATCATCCGATCTCGCCAAGAAGTACTGACGGAGACTGCACACTTCGCGATTATGCGTGGTGAGCGCGCTCAGGAAGCCACGCCCACCATACTTTCGCGGCAAGTACAGCCTCATTACCGACGATCTCGGATGATGCATCCTATGGGACGTCATGGTAGTGCGGACTTTTCTATCCAGGGCGTTAAGCTCAGTCTGAGTCCACCTGAGTATACCAAAGGTATACATGAGGACAGGCATGACCCAGCCGTTATATGCGTGTGTCTTATTCACACCGGACAAAAGGCTGTTAAACACTTTGGTCAATCGTGCATAAAACACGTCGCAAACTGACTGTTTCATACCAGCCTCATCGATACCGATGTTCTGTGACATACCCAGGTATCGGTATGTTTCAGCCTCGGAAAGGGTCCTTAAGTTGACGGCTCAGAGTTAGCAACATTTCCCCTTTCAACATGGAGGACCGCACACTTATCCGTCCCCAGCTCCATTCCAATGGAACTGCTAAATTCACAAGTGATGTTTAGCAGTTCCATAAGATGGGAGCGACTGGAGGCGAATAACTTGAGGTCATCCATATAGAAAAGGTGGGTCACTTTTGTCCCTCCTTTCCGTAGCTGAAAGCCCCTCCCGGAGCCCTCCAGTAAGGTACTGAGAGGGTTAAGAGAGAGGCAGAACCAGATTGGACTCAGACAATCGCCCTGGAAGATACCCCTTCTTATCCTTATGTGGTTCTCCGCAGCCGTCATCCGCTCGCCCAGATGACAAAGGATCGTACTCCACTGCCCCATACACTGCTCGAGGAAGTTTCTAACTGTACAGTCAATCTTGTACAGCTCAAGGACCCTCTTTAGCCATGTATGAGGCACCGAGTCGAACGCCTTTCTGTAGTCTATCCAGGCGGCAGAGAAGTTCCGACGGTTGCGTTTCACCACTTTGCCTATGACCGCGTCAATGAGGAGTGGTTCCTTAGTTCCACGACCACCGCCCCGACATCCATTTTGAGCGCGTGACATCACCTGGTTTAGCTCCAGGTGACGAGTGATTCACGCGCTCAAAATGGATGTCAGTGTCTTATATATGGTGGGTAGACACGTGATGGGGCGGTATTTGCTCGGGTCTGTGGTATCCTGATCTTTAGGAACCAAGTGAGTGATCCCAGTAGTGAAGAGGCTCGGGATTGACTTCTGATCGAGAGCTTCTTGAAACTGTCGAGCGAGCACAGCGTGACACACTACGAACCCCTTCAGCCAGTAATGATGCAGCCCGTCGAGCCCCGGACTTTTCCAGTTCGGGGCCCTACGGACCGCCTCAGCCACGTCTTCTGGCGTTATGGTGATGGGGTCCATAGGCTTAACACTCGCACCCTGGCTCGCCACAACTTCCATCCAAGGGCCCTCACTGTGGTTTACGGGCTCTGACCACAGGCCACGCCAGAATGCGATAATGTCAGCCTGATCCGGTCCTTGGCCCGCTCCACATACCTTTGGTCGCTCCAATAATTTATAGAGCCTCTTCTGATCACTCTGGAAGAGACGATTCTGGTTGAACCGCCTTGACCCCTCGGAAAATCGTCGAATCCGCTTCCCCCAAGCAGCGATCTTTTGCTTCAGGTCGTCTATGCGCTCCGTTAGTTTCTGCGTGATATCCGGCTGGGACAAACTGATATTTGTCCCAGCAAACGCCATCCTAACGGTGCGCATAATCCTCGGTCTATTATTACCCGACCTGAAGCTTGTCAGTCTGCCGATAAGGGCCCTTGCCTTTGCGATACGATCCTCGATTCTTTTCCTCCAAGCTGGGATGGCGTTACTTTGTGTAGTAGCGCGTCCAGCCATGGGAAGTTTGGCGCCAATAATATGGCAAACTGCCACTGCGGCGCCAAAGAGAATCGAGTCCGTCTCTCAAAGGGCCCGGCTGGCTTCCAAATAGGTCACCAGCATTGGGTTAAGAGCGCGCACGACAGCCCGATTTCGCTTGCTTAAGGGTATGCGGGGAAGTCTTTAGAAAGAATAGTCTTTAGAATTTTCGAGAGGGGTGCTGCGCGTTTCCAAAATCGCCTCTTCCTATATATACTCCTCATTTGCTCTAGTTCGTGGGAGACTATTTCATCGTCGTTCGAATCAACCACAACTGGAAGATCCATGGCGGCTTCCACGTGTGGATGCTGGTCTGTCGAATGTGGAGCTGCATCTCCAGCCATAGCCGATTCATTCGACGACGGAATAGCCTCACGTCGTAGTCGTTCGAGTTCGGCATCATTAAATATTTTCGAGCGCATGATGTACCGAACTCGGTCTGCCAGGTTTTGTTCCGTGACGGGGATAGACGGCTCCAGCTCAGCAAAAAAGCAATGCATCCGAGACCTATACGCTATTCTCACAGTTTCTTCCTCTTTCGCCCCATAGTACGCCCGCAATGCGTTTTCGTTCATGGATTTTGTCCAACGCATGCGACGTGCTCCACCAGCGGCGGGTGCCGCTTGCTGGGTCCGAGAAGACCCAGCCGACACCAAGCCTTCTGGTGGGGATGATGGATGCGAGGGGCTGCTAGGTGATCGTGCAGCTCCTCGCGCTCGTCTGGCGGCCCGCATGCTGCCGCGTCCAGCGCCAGCTCCAGACGCGCCCCGGCGACCCCCAGGCAGCGGCCCTATGCGCGTTCCTTATTGTGTTTCTTCCATCATCATTTTATGGGCGCCAAATAACGGGAGACGCCCAAGCCCGGCACCGTTTCGTTATTATCATTATTATTAAATATAACAGAACGCGAGTAACCCGGGTTAGATCCCCGCCGGCACCAATGAAAGTGTTAATTGCAATTTTAAGTGCTGATTTACCACGTGCTCGGCGGTGAAGGAAAACATCGTGAGGAAACATGCATGTCTGAGGAATAAGGAAAAAAAATATTTCGAACACATGTGAAGTTCGCCAACACGCATTAAAACACTACAGCGTTTATATTAACTTATTTAAATTATTTTAATTCCCGATGTTTCGGTTGACTAAAAGCACTCATGCCGATGTGAGGATAGATTAGAATAGAATATATATAGATTACATGTAATTTTTATTGAAAGTATTTTTTTTACTTTACCACTGATTCTAAAAAAAACCTCTGGCCTCGGAAATACTATCAAAAAACCCAGCCGGACTTTTTTATAAATAAATTTTACATTGTGATTAAAATATTACAAAATTGTGATTTTACATGTGACAAAGATATATAGAACGCTAGATACACGCCAAAACTAAATCATGGAAAATTAATTGTAAGAATATGCACACATATGTATACATTTTTGGCCATCATTGAACTTTAAAGTTAGTTAAAATTACAGCCTATATACGAACAACTCCTGCGTATAGGCCTCCTCTCATTTCTGAGATGGTTTTAGAACGAGGAAATGTCCAGCGCGCTGTCCCAACGCGTGTTGGCAAACTTTACATGTCTATGAATTTTTATTTCTATAACGTGCAGGTTTGCTCACGATGTTTTCCTTCACCGTTAAACACGTGGTAAATCAGCACTTAAAATTGCAATTAACAATTTAATTGGTGCCGACGGAGATCGAACCCAGGTTGCTCGCGTACTGTGAATTTTAAGTCGAGCGCTTAGCTCCTGAGCCTCCTTTGAACTTTAATGGCCTGTAAAAATGCACAAAGAAATATGTGTGCGTGTCAAGAACTTAAGCATGGTTTATATTTATTTGCTGGTCAGAGTGACTAGCAGTAAAAAAACGTTAACGTCGTTATGATCAAGAATAATATTCAGTACGTGTACATAGATTTGATTGTTATGTTGTACTTTTATTGTATAGCAACGCGTTAAGAAGGGTCTGAAATCATTAACTTCGCTTTTATTACGAAATAAAAGGACTTTGCCGAATAAGAGACTTTAAATGTAAGCAAAGCTGATGTGACTTAACTGAAAGTTGTGATTTATATCTCTTAAGTTTATTACACTTTTTTATGAATCCCAAGTAATTTATTAATTTAACTCTCAACAATGTAGTCACTGTCATGTTCTAGATAACGTTTAACGAATTCTTACATCAATTTTCTATCAAAAATTTAATTTAAGAAAAAAAGGTAAAAGCATACTTCAAAGAATTGATACGAATAAAAACATTCACTTCGAAGTCGGTGCTAAGTCATAGACATAAGGGTATAGAAGGGTTAAAGTCTTGAATTATTTTATTCTTTTGGTTCTTTAAAAGTCTTATTTTTGAGTGGAAGAAGGAATTTCACAAGCTCGCTATCAGCTAAATAGTTACATTTAACATCAATTTTTCTTCGCATTTGTTTGAGACTCCTAAAGTATATCCAACTGAAAAATAATCATTAAAACCGGTCACAATAGACGAAGATGTTCAAACACCACAAATTTAAAGTTGAATTGAGAACCAGTTTAAAAAAATGTTTTTAAAGTAAATTAACAGATTTACGTCTTTGCTAACTGTTAAACAATTTAGTGAATCATATATCATAAAGAATGAGGCGCAAAATATTTTTAAATTTATTTTACATAAAACAAAAAGAATCATTTACCAACAATTTAAATTACATCTTTTGTTAAATATTTTGATAAAGAATAAATATTTACATAAATGCAGTTTATTTTAATCGGCCAGTGTGCATTGAAAAAAGAAAAAGCATTTTTTTTTATAGAAGAGGGAGCAAACGAGCATGTATATATTATCAAATAGATATAAAATAAATTTTAATTGGAAAATATACAAGTCACACAATTTGCTGGTAAATTTGAAATATTGCGGGTAGGGTGGAAAAAACTAATTACTAGCGTACCGTATTGTCAGCGTGCGTACTGCGGTCGAGGCATTGCGGTAGCGGTGCGCAATGATTTACTGCACTTTTTATTTGCCTACAAAAATGTACGTAAATCATACATTTTGGCAGAAGCTTGGCATTTCTAGTTAAAAATACATGCAGCAAGAGCACACTAGAAGTTTCGTTTAAATTAATACATAATACATACTAATAAAAACTTCACACATCCGGGGAGTAGGCAGAGACCATGGGCTTCCTACTCAGTTTTAAGACTGTCTCTATCGTGTTAAGTCAAACTGACTGTGACACTGCGAGACTTAATGATATCTTGAAATTAAATAGCATTCAAGTGTTTGTCACTTCTCCTATCTTTAATATATCACCAATTTGGACTAAAAACTTCAATTTAAAATGTTCCTCGCCGACTCACTTCTGCAGCAGAAATTAGCTTTGTCACTCTTTCCTCTTTAATTCTCTCTTCGTGCACAAACCACTGGTGAAAATTATTGCGGTGTAAAATTAAGCGTACTTGGATACATTTTATACCGCCATTTAATATTAGATGATATACATTGATGTTGTGATATTCCTTCACCGGCCTCCCCCATAGAGTGCCTCACTGGGGAGATTTTGTCATAGTCGTCAAGCTTGGCAGGAAAGTTGTCAACCGTAGCTTTTTATAGTTTTGGGTTGATAGCGGGGAGATGCTGCTATCCATCTTGTCTTTCAGTTGCATTCTGTCGCCTCTTATGACATCTGTGGGACGATATGTTGTAGTGGATATTCTGAGACCTCCACTACATGGTTTTAACCGATACTAAGAGAAAAAACTTACTTTAATTTACTTTACAAAATTAAAACTTAAAACACTAATAATTAAAAAAACATCCCAACTCGCTTCACCAACACTTAACAATGATATTCTGCAAAGCTCCCCTCGCTCTCTTCCTGACACAATGCTAGTGTATATTACTTATTCACGCACAGTACTAAAGTCTTGATAATTTTTGGTCCACTATAATTGGTCAAAAGTCTAAACTATCATTTATTGTAAAGTAAAAACAGCTACAAAAAACTAAAATTAATAAAATATTTTTCGTACAATAGATTCTCCATAGTGGCTTTACTTCGTCATGTCATTGCGCCGAATTCTGAAGCTATTATGTGAACCGCCGACTCCAGAAGCTATTGTATTATTTAAGTTTAATAAATTTCGTTATTAATTTTTATTAAAGGTAAAATTTTTCCTATTCATAACTTAAAAATAAGCTAGACATAATTTAAGTATTTAAGAACAATGTAAATGCTGTACAGGATTTACAGCGGAATTTTGCACAGAGATTGTGGTTTTATTGCAGAAGAACAATTCGCGCACCGAAATTCTGCAAAAGCGTGAAAGGAAACCTTCTTTACAAACTCGCACAAAACATTTTAAGAGAGTGGAAAACCACTCACGAGTTATTTTCTGATTATTTTATAAAACATAACATAAAATTTAACGCGCGTTACCGAGAGAGCTAGGTAAAGGTTACAGACTTCTATTTGACACGACACTGACTCACCGCTCTAGCTGTTTTCACATCCAAATCCACACATCGCACGCATGCTCATTGGTTATAGATTACTCTTATTCCGACATATATTTAATATTTCGCTAATTTGATCGATAAACTTCTGTTCAGGACGTCCCTTGCCAGCTTTGTTACTTACTTCTGCAGCAAAATTTGTTTTGTCACTCTTTCCTCATTTATTCATACGTGTTCAGAAAACCGAAGCAGTCCTTTCTCAACCTTTTTATAATATTATGGGTAAGTAATATTTTATAAAAGAAAAATATGGGACTAACGAATAATGTACTATCGTCGAACCGTGTGGTGACGTAGTAAAAAAATCCATCACCTGATTTTGGGTGTCGTAAGAGACGGCTATTGGAAATGCTAAAATGATCTTGTTCCTTAAGCTTCCGAAAGATAGCGTTATAACCATGTTGTAAACGTCAGTGGAAAAAGATTTTATGTTTCTCAGCCTTATGGCAACTATATTGTTTACGTCAGTTGAAAATACACAGACCAGCAGCGAGAAGTTGCGTCTAAGATGAAAAATATAAAATGAATTAGCGGCATAATTTGGATGGGCCAAATACAGACTATTTTTTTAACTGAATCAGTAAGTTAGGGTATGGTAGTCCTATTTCTATTTGAGAGAAAACCTCTGAAGTAATAAAAATATGTATATATGGCACGAAATAAAACTAGGTCTATGAGTATGAAGTAAGATATGTTACACTGGAAGTCCGTAGTCCCTGCCTACCCTTCTAGGTGACTAGCGTAGGAGCTTATATATGTATTTATGTATGTATGATAAAAGCCTAAAGTTCACAGAACAAAGTATTTCAGCGAACTTCATGCTTTTATTTATTATGCTAACATCATAGCTATAAACAATGCTTAAATATAAAATATTTTATGAATATTTAGTACACAATAAATAATGGCAAACTTTTGCAGGAATTTCCGCAAGGTAATAAAATTTTAAAATCCATATAACAAAATATTACGCTTATTTAAAAACTAACTTTTTCTACTTTACAGGAATGAAGTTATGATAAAATGCCGAAACTTTTCAATGTAAAAACATTATATTAAAAAGCATTGATATGGCTAAA